AGAAATTCGAATAATTTTAATAATAATTCTCTTTTAATATTTTGAAAAAAAAAGCAGTTGCTATGGTGAATTTACAAATAATGTTTTGGGGAAGGTGAATCCGAAATTTAAACCAGATGTTGAAGGTTTAAAAGTTGCTTTTTCTCTTTCTCTCGTCAATATTGCATGGGAAGATAAAGGAGTATTTAGCTTTGTTGCTTGGCCAAAAATGGTATGTTTTTCTAATACAAAATAGACTATAAATATCTATTATAAATATTTTAATAATACAGAATTGGACTGATCCCAGATTAACATGGAAATCTGAGAAATTTCAAGAAATTCACCTACCAATTGATGATATTTGGATGCCAGATGTCATTGCCTATAATCTGTATGTTGAACATTCATTATTATTATTTAATTAATTCAATCGATAAAAATGAAATAAAGCTTGTTTATCTCAGATTGGAGGCTGAAGATTATTTAATCAAACCTTTGGCAGTTGTATATTCCAATGGTTTTGTTCTTGTTATCCCATCCAAGAAATATGTTGTAAGTTGACACTGACAACTTCTTATTATATAGTAACACTAATACATTTTCCCATTCCTTTCTCTATTCAGGTTCGTTGCACAGAGGATAAAGATCATTTGTACACGTGCACTATAACTTTCGGCTCTTGGACTTACAGCAATAAAGACATAGATCTTGTGTTGAGCAGCGATCAACTGGATCTGGATCTTTACGAAAATAAAGATTTTGAAATTGTCGATAGTGATGTTGTTCGTACAGAGAAAAAGTATTCGTGCTGTCCAGAATTGTATATTAGTTTAAAGTATACTATTCAACTTAGACGAAAAGTGTAATTCTTATTTGAAATGCTCTACTTTTAATTCTCCTTTTTTAATAAACAATCAATACAAGTATAAGAGAAAAATATTTGGTTTGTTATTCGTTGATTCCAACAAAAAGTAGGTCATACAATTAAAAAATCATTTATCATTACTAAATTGTAGGTTTACCGACTAGAATCAATACTCTTGTAATACAGTAGTGACATCTCCATTTTCATTTGAATATAGGCAGAAATATCCGTACGGATTGTTCAAGAGTTGTTAACAGATGTTTTTATTATTTTATTTCATAAATTTAGTATCTTATGAAATATGAAAAATGAAATTATAGATTAATATAATAAAAAGGAAAACTTTTTAGAAGTAAACGAGATTAATGATATGAAAAAATTTTAATCATGCTCAATTGAGCATATAGTCATATATTTTCTTATCCATTGCTTTCCAATCAAAGACCTTCCACTTTGAAAGTGGACAACGGGTTTTAGGATAAACGTTTCTTCCAAAACCATAATGATCTTCATGATCTAAAACGATGATATTCTTATCTTTAATCATCTTTTTCAGATTTTCCTTTTGCTGTTCAGAAGTGGTGATACAGATGTAATTTTTGAATTTTCCTTCATCAGCCATTGTGTCTTTTGAGAGTTTCTATTGCAGAATGAATATTTAAATACAATGGATTAACCATACAACTATGGATTTAATGACGTAAGTAGTGGATATTTAGTTTTAACCATTTGAATTAATTACTGTGTAAAATATAAGTAAAATATAGTTTACTGGACAGTAGTGACACCTACATTTCTATAAACAATCCTCTTCAAAATATTTTTGTAAAATATCTTTGTTTGAATTCTTATGGAGGATTTAGTATAACCATGAACTAGCGGATTTACTGTTGAATTTGAAGCCATAATTGCTGTAAATACGTCAACTAGTAATATAAACTTGGAATCGGAAAGAATATAATTCAATCTGTGTCTATTGTAATGAACAATAACCAATACGACTGATAAACTCCAAAAGAAACAATTCATTATTAAAAGACAAGTTAAAACTGGTATACTACTGCCTGTAGATTCTATATTAACGGCGTTCGTTCTATCGGAAATTATCTTTCTGTGTCTTTTTATCGCTCGAAGAATGGGAATGTAGAGTAATAGACTAGCAATAGAACTCGGTAAAACTGTACTAAATGACCAAAAATGAAGATAAGAAAATGAGAAAACTTTTAAAATATTACATTGAAATGTATCATTCCTATTCAAACTTAATTCGTAACGATTCCAACCCATAACCGGAAGTGAACAAATAAAAACGTTAACGAACCATACGCAAGAAAATAGGAGAAAAGCCCTTCTAGTTGTCCATAGTTTGGTAAAGGTTAACGGTTTAACAACTGCCATAAACTTTTCAAATGTAATTAGGGTCAATGTCGAACAGGAGATTGAAACTACTAAGAAAATAACCTGAAATCCGCAAAGACAACTGTAATAACTTATATCATAGTTATGCAGAATTATGAATATAAGTAACGTCATTGAATATAAGACATCAGTAAATGTCAATGCAGTCATTCCAAAGTTATGTAATTTCCATAAATCTTTATTAACCATATGAATTATTATTAAATTACTGTTTAAAAGTAGGTCAACAATTTGAGTACAACCAGAAAATAGCGATATATAAACGCTTACGTACACCATGTTTATTACTCTACAACTTTTTCATATAAAAAGAGGGATGAAACTAAGCAAAACTGCATTATAAGAACGATTATGAATATGAATAATATATATATATATATATATATATACATTTAACCCTGATTGGCTGATTAACAAAACATCTAAATTCTACAATATTTTACAATTATTGTCTGCGTCAGAGTAGAGAATCTTTAACCTTCGTCTTTAGATTACTAATTGGGTGAAAGCTTTCAGAGACAGGGAAGATTAGATTATGGATTGATAAAAATGGCTGAGAGGAATAAGATACCTATTCCAGGGGTAGTCCATTTAAAGGCGTTTTTCATGACATTCTATCTCTTATGAGAGAGGGGGGAGAGAGAGGGAGAGGGAGAAAGAAAGAGACATAGAAAGAGAGAAAGAGTATTTATCTTTATCGAATTATTTTTTTAATAGTATCTCTCTACTATCAAAACGTATAGACCGAGGGAACGAGGAGAAGCAGGGGGAGGAGAAAAAGATTCCTTACTATTAAAGGAAAATTTCGTACCTGAAATACGTAATTGGGAATATAAGAATTCCAATAAAATCTTTCGCAAGACTCGTTCATTGCAGTTTCAAAGTTTTATACTGGAAATATAGCGTTATCTCTTGCAATACTTTGATAAATTATACTGGATTAATAACTGCAGTAAAATCTTTAAAATGTCTATTTGCTTTTGCATAAACTGTATTAAAAACAAGAATTAAATCTCTCAATATACCTATCCTTGTGAGAATTGAACTATTCAATTTATGTTATCTCTACATTTCATTCTTCTTTACACTGTATAAAATTAAAAATGTTTGAACTGTTACTATTTCCAGAATGGATCGATTAATCCCATTGATTGAGTTCTGTTGAAATAGCGTGCAGCTTCTAATCTAAAAATAGATTTGAATAAAAAGAATCAGAAGGATTACTCATGAACTTGTTAAGGACACTTTTTTTGTTGCTATTTTCATTTAGTACCATCAATCACACCATTCGTCTAGGATGCTCTACAAATATCTTATTATTCTTATTATCATTCTAAAACGGAATATTCTTTGCAGTAGGCCTATTAGTTCATTTTAAACAATATTTGTTTTTTACACCCATTCAATTCCCCCCTTTTAGAATACGAATATGAGAAATATGACGGAAAATTTCTGCTTGGATACGATATTGTACCGTTGGAAGATTCTCTCTTAAATCATACTATTTCCTTGGAGTATTGTTTAGAAATATGTAACAGATATTTAAATTGCAGGTAAGTATATCTATGCATTTTGTATTATATCTTTATCAATTATCCCTCAACTGCAATAACAGAGCAGTAAATTATGATAATACAATTAAAACTTGCAATTGGAAAAGTAGCGGAAGTGTTATTGAATTAGTTGGAAATAGTTATTCTAGTTTTGATTATTATTTGAAAAAAAATGATTCAAGTCCATGCAAATATAATGTCTTGAATCGGAAATTTGTGAAGAATTCTATTGTTTATATTAATAATGAAAAATTGGAAAAACTTCACACAGATTTTATAGATGATTGCAAAAATGTTTGTAATAAATATATTGAATGCAAGTTTGTCTTTTTTTTCTTTTATTTTTTTAATAATAAATTCTCCCTATTTTTTGAAAATTTTCCAATTTTTAGAGGATTCGATTACAATTTTGCCAAGAAAGAATGTTGGTTTAATAATATCACACACACCAATCCTAATAGTGATGTTATAACTAAGAACAAACTTCATCTATTTGAGAAGATAAATTCAAATTGTACTTCGTCAAGTATGTCAATATTATTAATATTTTTTATTATTTGCATTGAAATCTCCATTAAGAAGAAAATTTCACTTCAATAATGTAATATAAAAACTTAAATAGCGAATATTTAGGTTTAGAACCCTAACCCTCTTATTCAAACAAGTAGGCATCTGGTGTTTATTTAACGTTCAGAATGCAATATTAGTTTTACTCAAAGGTAATTAGACCTACAAACGGTATATATATATATATACACACAGAGACTCAATAGACAACCTGGAAGTAATTTTGTTCATAATTTGCAAAAATAAATACGAGATTGATTATAGTTTCCACCAACAAATTCGCATCCGAAATGTTGGATGCCATTGAAAACTGGTGCAATTTATAAATCTAATAGAATGTATACAATAACACCCAAATATTCTGATATTCCTTTTTTAAAAATAAATACAATTCTGTAGGCTTTCATCTTTAATCAATATGTGAAAATGTTAGAATTTTGAAGCAACAGACGACCAAAGTATTCTTAAATTAAGATTTGCTTTGGTGTGAATTCCAATAAAAGTGTTAGAATAGACTATTTTAATATATTAGATACAATCGCAATACTGCACTGTATACTGTCATTCGATTCTGTCAAGCCAATACAAATTTATTTTGGTATAAGCCAAACTGCAAATTAGGAGATCTACATGTTCTGATCAATGAGAAATTATCCCATTTTTAGTGCATGAGAAGGCCTCTTCAATGAATAGTTTGCACACTGTTAAAAAGCTATTTTGGGAATGAAACTCTCAGTTAAGGTTAGGTAAGAGGGTGGGAATCCAACATAAAAATGGAAGAAAAACTTTGAAGACTTGCTAAGAACTGGTCACCCAAAGACATCTGCAATAGATCAAAATAGAGAAACAATTGACAGGCTTATCAGGAGAGATCAGACTGCATCTCAAAGAGAAATAAGCAAAAAATTAAATATTTATTAAGAGGCTGTTGGGAAGATGATCAAGGAGTTGGGGTATAGAAAAATTTATGCAAGATGGATTCCATAAGATCTTAATGAGGACCAAATGGACGTAAAGGTACTTGGCGGTGAGCAGGTGAAACCGTACATAGATTAAACTGTACCCATAAGTGAAATGAAAAAACATCCATGTATTGTTGTGTTTAGAATAAGGCAATCTCAAAGTCCAAAGATGACTTTTTCATGCTCTGACATGTTAATCATATTCTTAATTGGCTACCGAAAAATTTTCTAAAAGTTAACTTAAAAAGTTTATTGATCTATGCTTAAAATAATAGTTTCATATAATAAAAAATTCATATATTAAGGAAAATCTTTGTTTAAAAATGTACCCTCACATTCCTCATTACTTAGCTACTCCAAGGGTGAAAAAGAAGACTTTTTGAAAGAAATAGTTACTGGAGATGAAGGTTGCGTACATCTTTATGATCCAGAATCTAAGAGGCTTTTTTGACCTATATGAAGACCCAGAAGAGGTTATGAAGAGATTATATAGAATAAAGTCTGGAAAAGAGATCATATTGCAACATGATAATGCCAGACCTCATACCAAAAATTTCATAGAAATCTAGAATGGTCTATATATTCATACCCACCATTTGATTATTATCTGTTTGGATCACTAAAATATCACCAAAAATACAAAGTGATTGAAATATTCCGATCATACCTAATCATTCATGATTTCTTTAGTTTTTTATAAACTGTTCAAGTTTTCTCTTTTAAAATGACTGCCTTTCTTTTCTCTAATTTGAATTAAATGACTTACGATAAAATGTGTTTTCTCTTTAATACAATCATTTGACAAATGATATTGAATTGTGCTTGATTGTTTATTCCTTTTCCTCTTTTGCATTTCGAATTAGGTTGTGAATTTTTGATTAATTTACTTATAAGAGATAATTTTAACATTGTCTATGATGAACAAAGAACAAGATTATTCCTTTTTACTTTTCTCATTTATCTTTATTAATTATTCAATTTTTAATTTAGCTAGTTCCAAGTCACATAGTTTGTAGATGGAATCCTTCATAAGTACAGGTGAGAATATATAGGTCATTATCTAGTCCTAATAAATAAATGGACGAGTTTATTTATAATTAAACAGTAAGAAGAAAAACTAATAGATTTTGACATATTGGGATTTGAATCTAGTTTTATAACCTTCTCTTTCCTTTATTTATTCAAGAGGAACACCAATTGACTTCAAGAACTGTCTATCAATTTGCTTGCCTTTTCCAAAAAAATTTTGTATGGAATTATAAATCCTCACAAAAATATGTAAATAATTTGTAAACTAGGAGAGGTAGAGGTATCTGAAAACTACTCAAAACTAGACAAAATTTCCTACATTTTAGTCAAATTTTTTTTAAAACAAGGACATTGATTACCCTTCAAAATAGCCCCTACAAAAACATAATCCATCGAATGAAAAATTTCTTTCACCACTTTACATTTATTGACTTTTTAGTAGTTGTTTTCAAAGGTTAAAAAGTTGTATAAGACTTGACAAGGTTTGTAAAGTCTAAAGTCTAAAGTCAAGTATTCAATAAAAAACATAATATTAGATTTGTCATGCTTCAAACACATGAACGATGATAAGAGTTCAATTGCATTATACTGTATATATATAAGAATAATCGGGGATCAACAGAAAACGGCCCCAAGAAGGATATTTGAAGGCAGCATTTTGGGTTAAGAAATGGGTTAGGAGGAAAAAAGCATTTATTGATTTGTAGTTAAGGGGTCCCATCTAAGGGTTAGGAGTAATGAAAAAGGGTTACGGATACATTAGGGATGGTTTAGGCTTAGGGTAAAACTATGCTTTTGGGGCCGTTTTCTGTCGCATCCTAAGAATCGCCTATAACTTAGCACTAACAATGATATATTCCACAATATGATATTTTTTAATATTAAAGAATTTAATGTTCAATTCTTACCTAGTTCTCTTTTGAATATGCAACTCGGTTTTATACAATGCTACACGTTACTGATGAATCAAATTCTAGAATATTTAGCTTACTTTAATTGTACATAGACAGTATTTGCATAACTCCGAAATCCTCTAAGGGGTAGTTTCATATTAATTTGAATACTTTTGCAATGTTTCTTTGTAAGTAAAGGAGTTACAGTGCTTCTGAACAATTTATATGTACTCTTCTTTTGAGCATCAAATGGATAAAGTAAAATATCGCAAAGATATGGTGGTTCGTAGATAACTGATAGTAATTTGTCAAGGTTACTGCCAACTTTTTGTCGAAATTTTGAATTCAATTCGAATGATTTATTATAAGCACCAAAATTATCAATGTATCGTTTTGTATAGAATTGGGATGAGACTTTAACTAGACATCCAGCCGCGTCGCAAGCCTGTCTTACGGAAAGATTATTACTTAGGCCACTGGTCGAACCTGCAAGATAGTTATCATCAAAAATGATATGCTTGAATCCGTGTTTAGCAGCTTGAACAATTCTTTTATAAACTGATTGATGATCGTCGAAATAGACGATTGTCTTTTCACGTTTAATCTTCTCTTTCGACCAATCAATTCTGTTGAAATCCAAAAATTTCTTACTCGTAAAATATTTCGTTGAGTTTCTTTTATCTAAATATTGGTTTGGTGTTGTTGGACTAATCACTGTAATTCTTGCTTTGGGTAGAGCTTTGCGGATAAGCCATGTTCCATAACCTTTGTTGGCACCACTTTCAATCACGTGCTCAGGTTGCATTATCCTCAAGAATGACCATAAAGCAAATCTGTTGTTTATAGATCCATCTGTAGTGAAATTATGTAATCTTTTTGAAAATATTTGTAGAAAAGGACCAATAAATTGAAAGAATTTGTCTTCCTTGAAGAATGGAACCAAATGATGATTTCTTCCACATCTATAAATAGACTTTAAATCACTTTTACTTGTGAAACAATCAGTTATTTCATAAGCCAAATTCTTAGGTTTATTCGAATTTGTACTTGAACTATTATATTTATTAATAGCAGCTCCCTTCTTCTGAATTTCAACTCTGGAATAGACTGTAAATATTAAGATAACTACAGTAATTACAATTAATAGAATCCAATTGCATCCATTTCTCGAATACACCATCATTAGTAACACTAAATTCTTTAGTTTACGCCCAAATTAAGAAAAAAATTTATAAGTCGGACTGCTTTAAAGGGCTGGGTTGGGAATGACTGTTTCGTCTATTGAATTCTCTTTTAAATAGTCCTATTTCTTTCAGGGTTTGGACAAAAAAATGTTTACTTTTGAATAGAAAATGTGATGAATGGACAACATAGAAAAGCGTACACATACATTCGTCAGCTATACCCTACAATAGAGAAGCAGTATTCACCTAGCTTCGCGTAGGCCATTCACATTGTGCGGCAATAAAACCTATTAAATTATATACAGAATATTGCTATTTGCAACCTAGCATTAATATTAAAATTTATTAATCTATAAATTTATGATTTTGAACTAAAACTAGTTGAATTAAATATGAATTATGCTTAAATTCTAAGTTTAGATTATATTCACTATCTACTTAACATGCATTAATTAGATATATTTCCTCCTTATATGCTGATGCTAAAATTACTAACTCAATCAATTGAATATCATTGTTAAAGTAGAATATAAAAAGGGTCAAATATACAATCCACATGTTTTCTTGATTGTTGGACTTGTCCTATTCAAATTGTTACATCTTATGCAACTCTCCAACCTGAGAAATTCAACTATTATTTAGAAGAGGAAAACAATAAAAACATGACCATATTTACAACTTTTCTTTGTCTTCAAATGTTACTTTTGTTTTTGTCAACATTGAGATTTGTGAAGTATCAACCCTTAAAAGAGTATATAAAGCCTACGAAATTAACAGTTGACAGTTCAGTTTTCTAACCGTCAGCTAGTTGTTTAAACTAGCTTGTTTAGAACTAGAAGCTCATTTTACTCAATACATATTCTTTGCACGAAATACTTGTGTTTTGTTGATTAATTTCTACCGAAATTACATTTGTTAGACTATTTGTGGACGAACTTTAAAGGTTCTATTTGTGTGAGTACTTTGGCAAGTTGGCAAATGATTGGAAAGGACGATTACAATTGTGACGAACCAGAAATTCATGCAATTACAATACAACAAAGTACAAAAAGCATGAGAATTTTTTATTTTTTTCGAAAATGTCCCTAAAAAAAAATATTTTCCGCCTCAAACTTCGTAGAATATTCTCTACTAGACATATTCCATATTTCCCTTTTGATATCACTGCTATCTTATCATATATAGCTACAGGAACTTTTAAAATTGGGGACTTTTTTTCGCCAAATTTGGCTAGTCAATAATAGTATAAATTTGTGACAGGTGCTACGGTATAATTCTCAAACTAATTCTCTGTACTAATAGCGACATCTATTTTAGTTACTCCCCCTAGTTGTTTAAAAAATTTTTAAGAGTATCAAGTCGATAATGCAAGAGGATTTGCGATTAATGACGTGAAACTGGAAATGGTTTAATCCGTTAATCCATAAATTTGGTAATAGCACTTCCCACGCTATTACAATAATATAGATATTTTTATGTTATTCAATACTTTAAAGATTACTTAAAAGAATTCTTCTCTTCCATTTTCTTTGTTGGTTTATCAATGAATATAGGCTTATTTATGCAAAATCGCCATTGGCGTCATTGTCATACATAGTCTTGTATATTTTTAAATTTATATGTCAATTTTACAACAGAGTCGCAGGTGTAAAATTTTGAAAGCCATTTCCAAGTATATTTATTATCAATACCAGTTAAGTTTATGAATTTTTAATGCAATTACCTTTTCTACAAGAATAATTACTGAGAATTATATAGGTCATAATCTAGACCTTATGGAAAAATAGGAATAATTCTCTCTCCTTTTCGTTTGTTGACGAGGGAAGACACCAATCGATTAAACTAAAACTGTAATAGTATGATGATTTATAATTATGAAAAATTAATAAAATATTCATAACCTACTTTTCATAGTAAGTTAATAATAGCAAAATATATAACGTAGCTTATTGTTTAAGTATTAAATATGGCTATATAATTTGAATTTGTGCCTGATAGAAACTGGTAAACAAGTAACACTTTCTTTTTTTCTTTTATGATAAATTTCGTTAAAAAAATTCTTTACCCATTATAATTGTATGGTTAATTATAAAATTTGAATTATTTCTCGATTAGTCACGTGATAATAGCAAGAAGAAATCTTTTATTAAAGTAAATTTAGTTGGATAATTATATATTATATTTTAAATTAAAGCAATTATACATTACGTATAGAAAATAGTCTATATAAGTTCGTTGATTTTCAACCAAATTCCTGACAATTGGCGTGACAAAATGAGACAAACTCTCCATCAAATTTTGTTCCTTTTTTCAATCTTTTACGGTTTGTTGTTTTATCAGAAAAATACAACACTGAAATATATTCTTATAGATAGAATTCCTCAAGTGAAATTATTGAATTTAGCGAGAGGAAAGGCAGCTTTTCAAAGTTCTACGTATGGAACTTATTCCAATCCCAGAAAACCTCAATTTGCCAATGATGCTAACATTGAAATTTCTCTTCAAAATGTAAATATATTTGTATTTGTATGCATTTCTCTGAAAAATCGTCATTATTTCTTGAACAGTACGAATACTGTTCAAGAACAGACAAAGATCCGGAAAGTCACTCTTGGTGGTCCGTTGATTTGGAAGACGTCTATGAAATTACGAAAGTGTGTCTTTTAAATATAAACGATGACATTTGTAAGTAAAAAAATTCAAAAATAAATTCAAAAAAATATTCAAAACAATTTAGATACAAATCTACAACAATTTTACATTTTTGTTGGAAATTCGCCAAAAGACCATTTTTGTCTTTGCTCTTTTGTAACTGATCCAATAAAAAGACCAAGTACAATAGATCCTTTTCAGTACGATTGCTATTCTTGCCCGCCTACTTGTATTGGATCCTTTGTATCAATTCAATTGTCTGCATCATTTGTAGAATTGATAATATGCGATGTAGACGTTCGTGGAAGTCTAATTAACAAAAGAGGTAGATGATTGGTTGATTGATTGAGATAATATAAATTTAAACATAACTCATTTTTGTTTGATAAAGATTCTCATTTATTAAATTTAACAAATACGAAAATAACAACTGGAGGTCACTACCTAAACCATTCGAAAGAATTTGCCATAGACAATGACTATAAGACCTGGTTTCGTTCAAAATCCGGTTCCTATGGTTCATTTACAAAACCGTATTTCTTGATTGATTGTTTAAAAACGTTAAAAGTTCATGGCATGTTTATTATTTCATTAGATAAAGATTGTTTGTAAACGATGTTTACTTTTATCTTTTTTAAAATAATATAAAACGTCAATATTTTCATTTTCCAGATATTCTTAAAAGATTTAAACAAGTATTTATTTCGGTTAAGCAACTACCGGAAACGGATTTCAATTCTAATAGTCAATTTTGCGTTGAACAACTTTCTGGATTGTTTAGAACGGGCCATGAACTTTTAATTGTTTGGTGTCATCCTATACTTACGGGAAGATATATTCTTATTAGTATGAAAGACAGTATCAATAGCGATAAAATTTTAGAATTAACGGAAATATATGCCTACATTTCTGAGTTTGACAAACACGAGGCGATTGGTTTGTATATCTTTTATTACATCATAAATTATTGAATTTATTGAACGATAGAAACTGGAAATTCACTTAAATCATACTTAATGGACGTGACCTTGAATAACGTTTCATTATCAAATAATCACTTTGATTTATTAATCGATAACGTTTACTATATTAATGATATTAATGGGAGAATACCATTGAATAACTCCGATATCTTAACTCTAAGAATACGGCTTATTCATATTAATTCAATATGTCTGACAGGTTATTTATTGTTTTAATTGTTTTTTATTTTCCTTACTATCAACACTTTAATTCAATCGTTAATCCTTTTTTTTTCTTTTTTTAAGTCTTTCATACAACGAACTTTACAGCTGCAATTCAAATTAATATACGTCATTTTCTTAACAATTCAATCCTTTCTTTAACGATTTCTACGTTTTTTAAATATTCCCACACCGTGTGCGTTAAATTCAATTCTATTTTAACTAAAAATATTATAATTCAATCGCAAAATGCTGAAGAACTGGCAGAAATTGATCTTATTGCAGTTTCAACTGTATTTGCAGTTGGTGGAAAATGTTTAGACAATATTCATAAATGGACATATTCAACTTCTCTTCTTCCTAATAATTCTAATCCATTTTACAACATTTTACTAGAAGGTGTAAATACTGCAAACGATATTGCAGTTTATAAATTAAAAACTGCAACGAATGAATTAACGCATTTATGTGAAAATTTTGATATTTTTGACGAAGATTGGAATTCAAGAAATGGTTTACTTTTTCAATGCAAAAAATTCAATGGACTCATTGAAATTAATTCTTATCTTTTAAAGCAATCTCTCACTTTTGTCCATATATTTTAAATCACAATAAAACGTTGTACAAAGTGATTGGGAAACAATACAAATTATACGGCCGATATTATAATATTCTTTCGTTTGACTTACTTGTAGTATAGACTCTAATCTACGGGGGACGGTTGAGTGGGTTGGTAATTGTAATTTTAACAACAAAATGAATTCTTAGAATCGCAATTCTCTTTAAATTTGCCTTTTAGTTAACGTCCCCCGCAAGGACTTATAATTACTGATATAATCAATTAATCTATCAGTTAATCAGATATTCGTTTGGTTGATGACAGATGTGGTTATGAACAGCTGCAATTTCACCTAAACAACACGATATTATAACCATAAAATTCATTTAAAAATAATATTTATAAATAAGTATAAATAATACATTTATTCTGTATATAGGCCTATTCTTAATAATTTTTTATGACTGCTACAAATTTTATTGCTGTATGCGAAATATGTAGATACGAAAATAAAAGAGAAACTAAAAAGCATAGAAAACATCGATGAATATCTGGTCAATGACAAAAAAAGAAACATAAAGAATACTCTTCTTGTCCCATATAGCATTCGTAGACTTGTTAAAGTTGCTGTTTAATATTTTGTATCCATACTTTCAATTGAATTACTTGTTTCTGTGTCTAGTTAAGGTTCTTTAATAATTCAATTATCTGAGAGGCACTGAATGTTTGAAATGTTTATGTGTCAATCACTAATTTGATGGGGTTTATGATATTTATTGTTCTCTTGTTTGTTTTTTATATTACTTTTCAAAGTTTCACCTTTTTCTACATTATAACGGAAAGTAACAGATAGAAATTTTATTAAAAATTCATTAGCTTGCAACAATAAACAACCTGACTTAATAATCTGTAAAAGATATGCTTTGATTTACATAAATATTTCTAAGCTTTAACCTTCCTTCATTCATAGTCAATTATGTCACATTTAAACTTTATTCAAAACATTGGGGCTATTTTTTCCTCTTACAGCTGTTATTTCAATGAAAGATTTTATAGTAGAAGAAATTTTGAATAGTCTGTTTAAGACATGTGTAATCAAACAATAAAAAATCGACCAAACATTTATTACAATAATTTGTTGTTCAACCATCAAAAACTTTTATTTTAATTGAACATACACTGTGTTTGCGTAGCTTGCAAATCCTCTAGACAGTAATCTTATATTTCTTCGAATATTAATGCAGTGTTTCGTTGACAACAAAGGATTTACAGTGTTTCTAAATAGTTCATAAGTAATCTTCTGCTGCGGATTCGATGGGTAATTTAACACATCGCATAGATATGGTGGTTCGTAGATAACTGATAGTAATTTGTCAAGATCACTGCCAACTTTTTGTCGAAATTCTGAATTCAATTCGAATGATTTATTAATAGATCCAAAATTATCAATGTATCGTTTTGTATAGAATTGGGATGAGACTTTAACTAGACATCCAGCCGCGTCGCAAGCCTGTCTTACGGAAAGATTATTACTTAGGCCACTGGTCGAACCTGCAAGATAGTTATCATCAAAAATGATATGCTTGAATCCGTGTTTAGCAGCTTGAACAATTCTTTTATAAACTGATTGATGATCGTCGAAATAGACGATTGTCTTTTCACGATTAATCTTCTCTTTCGACCAATCAATTCTGTTGAAATCCAAAAATTTCTTACTCGTAAAATATTTCGTTGAGTTTCTTTTATCTAAATATTGGTTTGGTGTTGTTGGACTAATCACTGTAATTCTTGCTTTGGGTAGAGCTTTGCGGATAAGCCATGTTCCATAACCTTTGTTGGCACCACTTTCAATCACGTGCTCAGGTTGCATTATCCTCAAGAATGACCATAAAGCAAATCTGTTGTTTATAGATCCATCTGTAGTGAAATTATGTAATCTTTTTGAAAATATTTGTAGAAAAGGACCAATAAATTGAAAGAAATTGTCTTCCTTGAAGAATGGAACCAAATGATGATTTCTTCCACATCTATAAATAGATTTTATCATGCTTTTGTTTGTAAAACAATCCGCTAATTTAAATTCTAAATCTGTAAAGATATCTGTACTGAAATTACTTTTATCATTTTGTTGCATAAAGTTTTTGTTAGGAGTTAAAAAAAATCCAACTATAACCATAAGGCTTATAGCAAAACTACAGAAATAGATTCCTTTTGACTGTCTCATATCTTGAAAGAAATTTGACCAGATCTATCTAAGTGCCTAAGTGCTTATGAAACTATGAGATCTGTTTTGTTAATTTTGGTTATATGCAAATTTCTATAGCTACTTTATTGATTTAGTTGCGACACCTAGCGAGTAGTTTAAATTCTAATTTCAAAAGCTCTTACTTTTGAGACAGTAAGAGCCATCGAATAATAATAGTGAAAAATTAAGAAAGTATAACAAGAGTCACGTGATTATGAACGTGAATGTTACACTAATTAATGGTAATAAGTTATAGGCTACATATTTCTTTTGAGTTATAAAGGAACTGTTGAATATCTTACATTGAAAAACAAAGTCTAACCTCAATTTCCAATTGGTTATATATATCTCTAAAAAGAATTTCAAAGTAAAACATACGCCTAAAAACATCAGTTGAATTAGTGTAATTGAATATTGTTTACAATGGTTAATATTGACAGTATTATGACAGGAATACTGCAAAAAAAACAAAGAAAATAGAACATTTGTCTAAAATTTCATAAGAAAATTATTTAATTAACCAAATTTTAACCAGTTTTTAAATATTTAAAATATTTAAGATCTGTCATATTTGTTTCTTCTTGTCAAATATAGATAGTTATATATAACATGTTTTCAATCATTCTATTCATAATCAGTTTTACCATAGTTATAATTGACTGTTTTCTAATTGGAGAATATAAGTACAACTTTATCAAATTTTTAAATAATAAACAGGATACGGAAATTGATTTTAATGTTACAAATCCACATTTTACACTTGAAAAGATTGACGAAAGTAATATAAGGATTTATGGAAAATTATATATTGAATTATTTGAAAATGGTACAAAGTATCCAATATTTCCTACTAGTTTTGCTCAAAAAAATGTTGGTAGCATCTGCACTCGAATGGATTACGATTCAACATTCAGCCAACACCATACCTGCCTTAGTAAGGCTTAATTAAGACATTTTGCTTGTTGGATATTTTTTCCATCCTCTACACTAGGGCCATTTCTTTGTAAGAATAAAATTCTTTTCAATTTTCTTTCAGGAAATTATTCCGAAGTTATGACGTCATTTCAAATATTTTTTGAATTTAATAAACAAGAAAATATTTACAGAATGTGGTTTTTTTTTGATATATTTTTTAAATATAATTCGTAAAGTTTTTAAAAATTCAACAGGAACGTTGCGAAGATGAGTAGTTTTAAATTTCAACTTTGTTTAAAGTGTTACAAGAAAAATTCAACATGTAATAAAAAAACAAAAACTTGAAATTATCTACAAATATATAAACAATTTAATTTCATATAATATAGATTTGTATAGTATTCAAATTGGCAAAATATATCTACCAGTTTTCAAACGACAAAATACGTCTTGTGTTATTGTCGTTGATAACGATAAACATAGAAAAGATATTTGTAAAGCAACTGAATTTTTTATTTGGAAATATGACAATAAAACTGAATATGAATTGTGTTTTTTCAATGGTATGGAGTTTAAAATTTTAATGTCTACTGATAATAGAACGGAAATTGAATGTTCATTATCCGAAGTTCAAGGTTAGTTTGTATTAAAATTTGCCAAAAGACCACTATCTATCCACCAAATTGAAATAGATATTAGTATTGTACCAATGGAAGATGATTTTTTAAAATTTTCCGAATTATCAAAGGTCAAGGATAAATCATTTAAAAGTTTAATGATCCATTCAAAAACGTTTGGCAAATTACCACTAACGTTTGCCTTAACTGAACATGAGATAAATTTTTCAATGTGGACCTGCACAAAACTGTCATCATTGTTTATATATCAAAGAATAAACTTTTATACAAATGACTGGAGTAGGGTAAGTCATTTTACAGTTGGTTTTTTCTTTGCAGTAGAAATATTCGACACTTTTTTTTCTTGCTTTACAGGAGAAATATTCTTATAGTCAATACGTTAAAGACGTCAACGAAGTACCAATGCTAATCGATTGCAAATGGGATAATTCCTATCTTCAAGGTTGTTCATTGGCAATTTTAAGACAAACTTACTATACAGTAATGGTGAAATGTTCGAAAATCCTTTCAATTCCGTCTATAAATAGTAAATAAATAAAAAATCTACTGGAAAACTGCAAAAGTAGATGTTTTTTTTGTAAAAATAGACTCGAACCTATTAATGACATTTCCAACATCAGGAATGAATAAGAGTAGGAACTCAATGAAAATGGAAGGAATACCACTTCTATTAATAAATGAACATTATTTCCATATTGAACCTAGAAGACTATTCGCAAAGGAAGCGAAGATTATTTGTCAAAGTTTCGGTTATTTGTACGGCACGATTATTACTAAAATAATTAGATTATCTTATATAATCCTGCCAAAATTCCACATAATCTGTCCAGAGTCTAATCAAACAATTTCCGATTGCATATTACATAATCTATCCAAGAAAAATTCAGTTTCTATATCAGATTATTATACAATAGCCTTTAAAAAGTACAATTCTTTAGGTTATCTATCATTGATGGATATAAGTTATGCATTTATCAAATGTTTGAATAGAACTGTTCCAGGTAATATTTCTTTGAGTAGTTTTGAAACAATATCAACAATTTCTTTTTTGTTATTAAGATTATTGCAGTGTAAGATATTCTCAAAATGTCTTTGATACTTGCTATAAATTCTTTAAAGAAAAATATCCAGCGGTTAACAAACCAAACATTGTTTGTCAACGGAGAAATATGACTGTTGTTGATCTAGCATTTTTTCTAATGAACTCTTTAAATAAAATTGTTGGTAGTGTTAAAAAGAATAAAAATGTTCGGCCATATCCCAGCTGTTTGTTGATTTTCAATTCTTTTTTTGGCATATATAGTAGATTTTTTACCAATAGATTTTGGTAAAATAAAAACTGGTAATCGTTTAACAATAACGACTTCCAGTTCAATGAATTATCCACTTGAATTTCTATGGCTTAATAAAAGGAATAAACTCTCTGATTGTTTTTTTGAAAAGAAAATCATTATTGAAAAGTACTCACAGACACCTTGCATTGAATACAAATATGGCTACTTTTCTCATGGATGTGATAATTGTTTAAATGAATATAAACAGATATTATGCGAAAGATATTTAGGTTCAAAAAATATACATATAGTCTATAGGCTTAAAGTGTTTCGTTAGTGATATTCTATCCAATTGCAGACGTTGGTGGGAGAAGAGAGAACGGAATTATCATTAACAAATTTGAATCTGAACAATTGTTCTTCTGTTCTATTGAAAAAGTTTACATTAATGTTATTTATGTTTGCGACGGAAAAATTGATTGTCGTACTTCCGGTGAAGATGAATTCAGTTGTGAAACAATAGACTGGTTTCATTGTTCTGAAAATGAAAAAATTCCATTTCAATTAGTTTGCAATCATAGAAATGAATGTTCAAATAATCTGGATGAATTGAATTGCGGTATGGAAAGATAAATAATGTGATCTGTCTTATCTTATCTTATCTTCATTTTTTTAATAAGAATATCAAATTTGCGACAAGTTTTCGTTCAGATGTAAAAATAATATCTGCATTGGTTGGGAAAAACGATGCGATAGGGTAATTAATTGTCAAGACATGTCGGATGAATTTTGCCAAAAAGGTTCGAAATAGGCCTAGTTTGTTCTTTATCAATTTCTCCCCTTTTTTCCAGACGATTGCGGAACTGATTCATTCTTATGTTCAGATCGGATTACTTGCGTAAGGAAATCGTTCGTATGCGATCTCAAGTACGATTGTAAAGATGGATCCGATGAGACAAAAGGATGTCTTGGATTTAGTGATTCGAATCATCACATGTTGAAAAATTTAAGTAAGATAATTGATTTGATATTATTGAAATACTATTTAAATATCGCTCACGCCTATCTCTTCATCTTCCAGCCTATTGTCATCAAATGGCTGCGAAACAGGACAAATGTAAATTGTACCAATCTGTAGATGGAAGATATTCATTAACAGTTCAACCTCCTGTAAATGGTCTATTAAATTGCCAATCAACTAAATGTTCCTTTGGAGAGTATCAATGCAACGAAGATGGCTATTGTATATCAATATCGTTAGTTTGTGATGGAATCTCTCATTGCAGAAAAAGAGACGACGAAGATAATTGCGGTAGGAAGAAGAAAAATCAAAAAGTCTACCAGTTTTTTTTCCTTTCTCTGTTACAGATAATTTTGAACCCGAAAATGCATTTAAATGCAAAGAAACGAGACTATTCACAACACCGGAAAATGTTTGCAATGGTATAATTGATTGTCACGACGGAAGCGACGAAACTAGTTGTCAAACTGCTACTGCAAAACAGCAATTATACTGCAATATATCAAATTATATTTTAACTTGTAAACCAAACAGTTTATCTAGTAATATTTTGAATTTTCAAATGAAAATTCAAGAGAATCCTTTAGCTAAGAGAATTATCCTTCAATATATAACAATTAAGAATAACATCATTAACGAAACGCTTCCGCACGTCACTTCACTTTTCATGATAAAATCATCCTCTCAACTGCAATTACTGAATATTTTCCCCAACCTTGTTAATCTGGAATTGTTGGATATGAAAATGAATTTTTCTTATCATTTTCCAACAAAAGTTGTTAATTTATTACAATTTCTAAAACTGGAGAAAATTTTTAGTAAAGATATTAATAAATTTGAATTTTCGGATTTGAAGAACCTTTTAAAATTGGTTTTAAACGATATAAAATCCTTTACGATCCTATCTAAAACTCGTTTTCAAAATATGAAAAACTTAAAAAGTCTAACAATAACGAAATGTTTAATAAAAGAAATTCAAAAAGACTCTTTAAAATCATTAATAATGTTAAAATATATAAATTTAAAATTAACAACAATACCGGAAGCGGAGATGGTATTTATAGTAAAAAATTTAAAAATGAACCAATTAGAAGAATTGTATAGCGATTATTTTAAATTATGTTGTTTCGCCTGGAAATATCAAAGGATGATGAAAAGATGTAAACCAAATAGAGCTTTATTCTCATCATGTTTGGATTTATTAGTATCAAATTATCTTAGAGCTTTTATATGGCCAGTTGCAATTATTGGTTCATTCTCCAACATTTTGGCTATTGTCTTTAGAATGAAAACATTTTCAAGACCTTCCCATCTATTTTACGTTTCGTTAGCAACTTCCGATTGCATTATGTGTCTTTGTTTCCTTATTCTAGCTTTTAAGGATCTACTCTATAAAGGGGTTTATATTGATTACGATCTATATTGGAGGAGAAGCGTCCTTTGCCGTCTAATTGGTTGTTTTATCAATTTTACAATCCTACAATCGTCGTTCTCCCTTTTAATTTTAACATTTGAAAGATATCTTGTTGTTAATTATCCAATTGTCGGCTTTTTCTGTAAGAGATCTATTGTTATCATTATATTATTGGTAACGACGCTTTTCTCCACATTTGCAACCATTTTTCCCTTATATAAATTTCAGGTAAATTCTTTTTTAATTATTTTTTAAGCAAAAGTATACCAGTCTATTTTCTTTCTCTCTGTAGGACTACTATCAAAGAATGTCAATATGTTGTAATATTCAAATAGGAAATCAAAAGGCAATTGGTTGGTTTTGGTCATTTTTTATCTATAGTATTTGGCTGTTATTAATTAATGCTATTACTGTAACACTTTACTTATTAATAATATTGAAATTGTTAAAGAGAAAATTGGAAATTAATATTAATAATTCTGAAAAATTGAATAAAAAAGTTCAAGCAACGGCGCTGATGATTGTACTCACAAATTTACTTTCTTGGTTTCCAATATCAATTTTAGGTTTAAATTATTTTAAATATTGTTTGTTTGATAGTTTTTTTACTTTCCCTCTTCATCTCCTTTTTTTAGGCCAATTATCGGTAATTTCAAATTTAACAATCAATAACGAAATATACACATGGATAATAATTATTTTTCTACCATTAAATTCCGTATTGAATCCGATTATTTACAATTATTCAGAATTATATAGAAAACAATTGGAAAGGAATAGAAATAGGAAACAATTGCAGTAAGAGAGAGAGAGATATTAAATAGAATAGGCCTATAATTTTTTTAATAAAAATTACAAACTTTATCAGACAAACAACAATTATTAATTTAAGGAAATCGTTGAAAAATGAAAGTAAAGATTTTTCAATTATTTTAATAATTTAATTCATTAATTAATCAATTTTTTGTTAATTTTATTTATAAAGGCATTGAATTCATTTTAAATATGAAAGAAAATTGTATTTTGTCAAATTCATCATATATTCCAGTATTAAAATTTAAAATGCATGTTAAAAATTTAACAAGAACCAGTTTATTAATGAAATGTATTCTGAAAGCTTTGTTATATGCAAATAAGTTTTCGTATTCATTTCGTATAAAAATTTTAAATGAAAGAAAAATTTTTGTTCAAGTAAGAAAGTATTTTTTTTTGAAAATTTTGTTTTTTTTTGCTCTTTTTAGAAGAAATTTTACATGTCAATTAATGATTTTACATATGTTGAATTTAGTGAAAGAGATAATAGCAAAGATGTTCAACTTATAGGGGATTTTTTAAGAATACTGTTACAAAAAGAAGCATTTTATAGACTTTCAAAATAATGAAATGTATACAAAGAGTACTCACAGAAAAAATGGCTGTTTTGTAAAATTGTATCTTGTAAACTTCACTTAGAATCCAATAGATGGCACTAGTAACTTAAATTAATGAAACTCTCCTTCCAAAACATTCCAATAAATTCCAATTTTTTGACCAAGAATGATCATTATAAATTTCCATATGTAAATTTGAATTTCCTGTTAAAAATTCTTTGAAAAAATCAATAAAAATATATTTAAATTGTATCTTTAATTTAATTTTTTTCAAATTAGAAAAACACGTCCATCTTTGATTTTCATTGTTTAAAATTTCATTTAAGAATCTATTTTCAAAATCTAAAATTAAATTAGGATTTATAATTTCTAAATGTTGTAAATTTTTACAACTTTTTAAAAATTTCCCACAATTCACACCAATTTTTCCATTTAGTGAACAATTTTCAAATTTTAATATCTTTATCATTGAAGATGATGAAATCAGACCATCAAAAATATATAAAATTCCATTGCCAGGATTAGATTTTGGTGAGAAAATAAATATTTTAATGTTGAGTAGTTTCTTAAGAAATTGTCCAAAATATTTATAATTTAAATTTGAATTATTTAATAATACAATTGAATTTAAATTTTTACTCCAACTATTTAAAATTGTTCCATTTAAAAATTGTTTACAAAACATTGATAATCCTCCATTAGAGCATGTAAAATATTTCAAATTTTCACATCTATTAAAGAATTGTCTAACAAATTTTTTTGATGAAATATTTTCACATGAATTGAATTTTATAAAAATTAAAAATTTACTATCAATTTTTGGTAATAACTTTTTCATTTTGGAAATATTTGAAACATCTAAATATTTGATTGGATGTCCTCTAAGAAAATTAAAATTTACCAGTTTTTCAATAGTAAATAATCTTAATGTTATACTGGTAAATGTTGTAATATCTGAGGAGAAGAATGATAATTCTCTCGATGATAATGGTGGTTTTCTATTAAATCTTTTTTCAATTATTTGTCTAACAATTGAAATTGGAATTGAAATTTTATTCTTCCTAATTAAATCGCTCATATCGCCTAAATGATAAATGATATAGTTCATCGATAAATTGTATAATGATTCAGGAATCATAGTTGTCTTCATTTTTTTTCCAGTTTAAAACAATCCATCTGTTTTTGTCATTGAAATTGTCTCTTTCTTTTTAAATGCCAATAATATTTAAAATATTACCTAATTTCCTTATTGGATAGGAGTAATGGTGTCTTTTTAGGGCTGAAAAATCTCTCATGTTGTTAATGTTGTTATTGTGTATTTATAACAGAGAAAATTGAAAACAATTCCAAATTGGTTTGGCATATTTTTTCAGTGTCCTTATTGACCAAAAAAAACCAATAAGATTGATTAATTAATTAGCTTTTGTTCTTTATATTTTCATTGGTATAACCATAAAACCACAGTCTCTACAGTAACTTTTTGTTACAAAATACCTGTTTATTACTACATATCAAACCGTATTAGATTTATTGTTAAACACTCATTGTGCACACTCCGTCTAAATGAATGCTTAATATTTTTTAGAAAAGGTCAAGGGCATTTATTAATAACTAAGAAAACAGGATAAATCTAATTGGCAAACAAAATATTAAATAATTAATGATACTCTGGAATATTTTTGCTGTAGATATGCTCTTATTCTTTCGGTAATTCTGCATTCGTTTAAATATAATTCCTTTAAAGTTAATGATGAACTTTGAAGAGCTTCGATAATCTTCTCTAATCCTTCTCCCATTTCAGTATTTCCGGTTAGAGATAAATACTGAATTTGAGATAATTTTCTCAATTCAACTGCAATTTTACGGCAAATTTGTGAATTTAAATTACATTTAGATAAATTAATATCTTTCAAAAATGGTGAACATTTTCCAATCTGTTTTAAAATATCAATTAATCCATTTTTCATATCTGGATTTCCGGTTAATTGTAATCTTACAATACTTTTAAATTTCTTCAATTCAACTGTTAAACTTTCGCATAGCTCAACATTTAAATTACAATCACTTATTTCAATTGATGTTAGAGTATTACACGAATCTCTGTAGACGCTTTTCAATCCTTTTCCTATCATTTGATTCTGACTTAGATTAAGAATCTCGATTCGGCAACATTTTGTCAAAAGTTGAGAAAGATAATTGCAATGTTCTTCATTCAAATTGCAATTTTTCAAGATAAGAAGTTTTAAAGTTTTAGAAGAGTTTTCCAGTCCTTTACAAAAATCTTTAAATACATTTCCAGTTGATAAATTTCTATTTCCGGTTAGATAAATCTCTTCCAGTCTCTTACATAATTTTATTAATTCTGCCAAACTTTTACAAGTAATCTCATCTAAATTACAATCCGTCAGAGAAATAAATGTTAAAGTGCTACTGGAATTTTGCAGTTGATTGCAGATATTTGATGAATCATAGTTCATATTTAGATTTCGTTCCAAATTAATAAATTTAATGGAATAACATTTCGTTAACAGATTACCAATACAAGCCGCCATTTTCTTGGTTATACCACCATCATGAAAACTAATCTTTTCTAAACTGTTAGATGATTCTTCTAACCCTTTACATAACTCAGAAAATCCATTAGTATCATTCTTATCCATTCCTAAATTATTTCCAAAATCAATTATCCTAATTCTAGGACAATTGATAAGTAATTTTCCAAGATGTCTACAAGCTTTATAGTCTAAATCACAATTATAAAGGTCAATGGAGGTTAATGAATTATGAATAATTTCAATGCAATTGAATATTTCATAGCCAATTATTTGATTTTTTGATAGATTTAATTGTTGAATTTTTGAACAATTTTTCAATAATTTTCCAATTTGCTTCAATGAATCTGTGTCTAAATTACATTTTTCAAAATTAATATTTCGCAATGTCTTGGAAGATTTTTCAAAAAGAGCTTGACAAATTCTTAATAATTTATCACCAATATTTAAATTATTTGATAAATTTAAATATTCAAAATTACAACATTTCAATAATAATGACGTTATTGATTCGCACTGTTTTGCATTTAAATTACAATTACTTAATTCTAATGATTTTAGAGTAAATGTTGATTTTTTTATATTTTCACAGATTATCATTAATCCATTTCCCATATTTAAATTTTGTGATAAATTTAAATGTTCAATTACGTTACAATAATTTAAAATCCATTTTCCAATAGTCTCGCACATATTTTCAATTAACATACAATTTTGTATTATTAGAACTTTTAATGTTCTAACTGAATTGTTTAGGTTTAAACAGATTTGTGATAGGTTGTTACTAATGAATAGATTATGAGATAAGTTAATCTCTTCTATATCTGAATTTGTTTGTAAAATATTTAATACTTTTTTCATATCACTTTTGAAAAAACATTTTTTTGAAAAATCAAATTTTTTTCCTAATTTTCTTCCAAATTTTCTTTCAATTTGTTTATTGTCGATTTTATAATGAATTTTCACGTCATTTTCAATAGAAAACGTTACGTTTTCGTTTACGAATGTTTTTAAAATTTCTACATCAGGTAATTGATTACCTTTCGAAGGGATAATTGAATTTATCATTTCCAATCTCTGATCGCTAATTTCGTTAATTTCATTATAAATGTTATCCAATTGTTTGTCAATACTTATTTTCAATTGTTGCTTAATTTCGTCAATTTTTTGTTTATATTGTCGCTTTTTCAACAGTTCTTTCTCTCTGTATTGCTCAATGGTTTTTTCGTGTATTACCATTGTTGTAATATTACATAATTTGTGGTTTTCTCTAACGCATATGTCACATAAATATGGTATGTTGTGATCTATACAGAATATTGAAGTCTCTTTTTTATGATTTTCACACCAATTCCTTGTTGGCGTTATTATACTCTCTGGTAAATCAATAATTCCATTAGTAGGTATTTTACAAGCTTCTTTGCAAGTGAAACAAATAATTTCTCCGTTCTTAACTTTTGATTCTTCTTGTAAACATTGCAAACAAAACGTATGATGGCACGGTAATGTTTTTGGATTCCTCTTTAACCATAATTTTGAACAGATAGCACAAGTGACTAAGTTCTCTTTAATCGAATATTCGACGGTAGCCATTTTTTTCTTTGGTCTAATTCTCTTCCCTCTACAGACAATGATTCTTTTACTATGTGTATTATGACTATTTATGACTAATTCATTCAAAAATATCGATCAGTCTAACGGAAGGGGGAAATGATTTAGCTATATGGTTTTTTTGAATCGAATATCACATTTATTATGATTATAAAGTAGAAATTTTAACAATCAAAAATTGAACGCATACGATATTGTGAAATACAAAAAAAATTTATGAACATATTTCAAGACTATCAAAAGCATCAATACATTCATTAATGAGGATCAGGGCTTTTGGAACACTTTCCAAGTGCGTAAAATCTTTTATTTGGATTTCTCTATCCAAATACTTCGAATTTTCTTTTTCAATTCGGTAGTATAGATGTTCCGCTTTCACAAGGAAAGCATCGAAAATTTTCTTCTGTCCATCCTTCAAAAAGTCTTTACTATTTAACATTACGTCCCAAAATTCTTTTAGAATAGTCCCTACAATACGAAATCTTTTAACTTTCTTTCTAGATAGCTTGTAAAGAATTAAGGCTGGAGTGATGATACGATGATTTTTCCATCTCTTTTTCTGTAAATGATACTTTCAATATTAATAATAAAAAAAGAAAATTTCCTACTCACATTATTCAAGATATTTCTGTAAACTAAGATTTCCAATCTGTCCTTCTGTAATTTGAAACATGGATTCTGTTTTACTAGTGGTTCAGAAACATGTGACAAAGTCATAGTGCATACAAAAAGAAACCAGAAAGAGCGTTTCATCCTGATGATCTCTAGCTTAACAAGATCAATCTGACGCTTACAGGGATAGGGAGGCTAGTTTTTAACTGTAAAATATTGCATAATCGTTTCTTTTAAGGCATAAAAAGAGACTTATTTAAATAAAATTCCATGTGTATTCCTCTCTCTAATGAATAATCATAGTTTTGCTTCCAATTGACCTACTTCAAACAGGGTTTTTGACTGGTTTATTTGATTTACCCATTTTGCTTCTTCATTTAAAAATTACCAAAATCAGTTACTCTTTCTTTACACTTAATGATTATAGATTTAGATATGAAAATTTATTATAGGCCTATATTTGTAAACTATTTTAAACTCATAACCTCTATTAAGTATTCAACCATTTACTATTCAATATACAGGTAAAAGCACAATTGAAATGATCAAAGGGTTTTTTTAAGCATAATGAGAATCATATATTTATAGACCGGAACTTCTAAATTATTTGCTCAGGAAACTTTTTTAAAAATTTCCCATGAATCTCTGATTGCTTTTACAGAAATTCTTTGAAAGTCAGCTGGTTTCTTGCATCATACTACATTCTGTTTGAAGAAATAGTTCAAACATCTAGTGAAACAACCTGTGTTATTGTTGAAAACGCCCACTCTTATGGTTTTACCCTAACCGTAACCCAGCCCTGGACGCTATTTTAAGTGTTTATTGTTTGGTCCCACCTAATTAAGTGAAAGTTAAAGTGACACCGACGCAATTCCAGCCAATAATCAGAACATTAGTTATAAAAAGTTTAAAACCACTAGTGGACGTTTTCAATAACCACCAATTTTTTGTGCTACTGTACAACTCTGGTTATATTTAACATGAAAATTTAACAAGAAAATGCCATAACATTGGCCCAACAATGGTTTGATTAGTCAGCTTGAAGGCTCATCTTTAATTACGAATAAAGGTTTGGCCAAGTTATAATTTAATTAACTTGCCTAGGGTGTGGCCAAGTTATAATTCAATTAACCTTCCTAAATGTTCAACCTTGTAACATCCTCTTACTAAACATAAATATGAACTACACATTTCGGCAACTGTAAAGTGATGATTGGATGTCAGAGGCAAACCTCAAAGTATATAAATCATTACTATTCTCATTCTGCATGCAGCTTCCATCTGGACCCAAGGACCTGGGAAGATAAGCTGGAAACAACCTCCACTGGAACCATGCATCTACTCCTCAACATTGGAAGACAGTTTGGTAATTTGTCAACCTGCTATTACAAACTATCTACTCTGCTATTGAACTCTCATATTGTTACTTGCTTAAGTATTATTATTGCAAATAAACCATTTTAATTTTAAACACTTGTTTAAAAGGTTCGAGTAGAACCAGTATTGTTATAACTTGCAAGAGCAGTACAGTGTCACCTTTTAAAGGAACAGATTATATTAAATCACCACATGACATAGATTCATCTCTCTTTGTTTTACAAAATATCATTTTCAGTTTTTCAACAGAATGCCAGTATTTCTCAGATAAGATATGTGAAAATCACTCTTGACCAGTCCAGATTTTCAGCAATTGTTTTGAGGCAGTATTCTTTTCTTCTTGCTCAATCCTTAGGTGTAAGATTAACTCTTTGTCTTATCCTTTTATATTTATAATTTTGAATTCAAATAAGCCAAATGGTGTAATGAAAGCAGGTTTCTCCTTATTTTCCTCCTTATTGGGAACATTTGTGAAATGCACTTGTTAGATCCAATATTGAAAAGTGTCTATGACCTCCTCCAAGTTTGTCAAATAGATCTTCCTGATATGGGATTGTGTAGCAATTTCCCTTTGATTGCTAGCTGAGTTTCTTATAATCAACACACATTCTTAATGCTCCTTCTTTCTTTCATGATACCTTCATGGCTCTTGATCATTTCTTTTAATTCTTCTCTGCTCTCGTTGATATTATTTTGGACACATGTAAATAATTGTCAGTTTCTAATGTATTTAAATTAATAATGTTTACATTTTGATTAGGCAAACATTCAAACTCAATGCTTTCCTGATGTAATTGTTCTAACTCGGGAAAAGTTGGAATTATCTCTGGTTTCTTTTCAATTTTGATGGTTATTCCATCTTCCAATTCAATGTATTGTAGCTTTATTTCAATTGTTGAATTCAATTTTTCAGGTGTGATTTCAGTCTCTTCTTCAGAGGAATTTATAAGAATTGTGCACTTTGGTATAATGATATATTAATATTCAGACTTTAGATATAAAGGTACATTAGAAAGACTTTCTATTTCATAGCAATTAGAATGGTGGAAGTTGTGTTCGATATAACAGTCTTTCATATTTTTGTTACATGAGAATTATGAGACCATCAGATTGCAACTTTGTAATCTTTTAACCAATTGAACCCAAGCTTTGGCCAATGTACCAGCTTGTCAGTTCAGTTTTTTAACTGTAACTGGTTGTTTAAAGGAGCAGAAATTCCTACAATTACAATACAACAAAGTACAGGTATAGCGGAAGTTATGTTTGTTTCAATTAATTCTTTATGGGTATACTATTATTGTTATATTTAAATATACTTTGTGAATAAACTTGTAATTATTTTATCACATTATTAGTTGTTTCTTATAGATTCAGATATACAAAACTAGGTCATCATCCATTGATCGGAAGAGTTTTGACTTAAAAAAATCTTTTACATATGTCCCATATTGGCTTCAATAATGTTGAAGTCTGGGCAGTTGGGTGGCCATGGATGCAATGTTTCAACTTTCTTTTTCTTTATTTTGCTCTGGCTGCTGTATCCCTCTATAATAATTTGCAACAACATACTTGCTCAATATCTTGTTATAGTCTGATGCTGTCATGTGATTAGATGCTAAAGCCAACTCTATCTCAAAATTTAATATAGCCAAAAATCATGATACTCCCTCCTCCAAAATTTCACTGTTTTTTGTTACTCACCTCCTCAATGGTCGCGGCTGTAGTCAGTTTAAGTTTTTAGGGAGCGACAGGTGAGATTTTCCTCACAATCTCATTTTGTTCAAAAATTATTCATTGATTTTCAGTTTTAGCCACGTAGTAAAAGGAGAAAACTAGTTTTTTCTTTATTTTTTCATTAATAAACACTCATTGTTGTCAAAATAATACTGAGAGTCGTTTAAATTGATAAAATCGTCATATTACTTTTTAATGATTAGCAGTTTGTCTACAGTTCTCATGCTTTGTAGTTAATAATTAAAATATAATTAACTACTAATCAGCGACTATATTGATATATCATTATTTTAAAATTTGTATTCATTGAGATCAATACACGATCTTCTTGTATAAAAAAGAAGAAAGAATTAAATCAAACTTGTTTTAAAAAATTGTTTTAATCCTCTCTCTCTCTCTCTGGAAAGTATGATAAATTTAACAAATCTAACAATTATCACAGCTATAAGCGTTTTATTTAGCCAAGGAAACGCAGGTTTCTTGAAGAATTTCTTTTTTTATTAAATTAATTCTATTCAATAAATTTATAAAATTTTTCTTTCAGAAAATCAACATTGTTTAAGTAATGAAAATTGTTTACAGTTTGAAATCTGTGCATTTGGCAAATGCATTTGTAATTTACAATATGGACAAGATTTCTGCGATATTAGTAAGATTAAAATATTTTTGCTTGGAGAAAATATGGATTTTAAAGGTATTCCTAAGATCAGGGAAAGTAGGGTTAAAAGCTAAAATTTTTTGTCCACATTTTCTCCAACATTCAAACATTTTTTAACAAAAAAAAAAAATCTGAAAAATCTTTGTATTTAATAAAAAGGTAAGAATTTAATTTTAAAAAGAATGAAATTTGTAAATAAAGTTAGTAATACTACTATTTCTGTTAAATCAATTGACGAATGCTACAAAATCTGTTTAAACACTACTCAATACGACTGTGTTGGAATTTCTTATACGAAAGGAAATAATACAAATGTTAATTTTCAATGTCAAATATTTAGTGAAATTTCTTTTCCATTAATTGAAAGTGAAAATTCTTCATTAATTATTCGAAAAGGTAAAAACCAAAATCAGTAAAAGAAGACAAGGAGGGACAACGCTGTCCTTCTTTGTTATTGTGAATAGCGATTTTATTTGAAAAACAATGATCTATACAGACAAACAACTAGGTGTTTGCGGCTCTAATTCTAGTATAGTACCACCAATGGAAGAATGCTATTCATATTTATGGATTGAAAGTGGTTGCTTTACAGAAGAATTTAGGCCTACTGAACTGGAAGAATCGATGACTATTTCTCAGTTTAGCATTTACGCTAAAGATGTTTTTAAATTATCTATGAAAAAACACCAAATAAATTCAAATACGAAGAATTATAGATTAATCTGCTACAAGAATCTTTATGATAGAACGAACATAGCTTTTAATAGAAAAGTTACGTATTCTGGAAAATTGGATAGTCCATTACTAGATCCAATCCACATTGTGGATGGTTTATATCACAACGACATTTCTTTAGGATCTTGTTCAATATTGACAATGTTTAATTCAACTAAACCAAAACTATCAATTGAATTGAGTGAATATCACGAAGAGATAAAAATTGTTTTGTGGCCGACAAACGAAGAAAGTAAACTAAAAACAAAAACAAAAAAATTATCTTTTTCCTTATTAATTCCTTTTTGTTTTTCGTTTAGTAAATCAAACATTTATTGTTTATATATCCGAACCGAATAATTTATGCTCCAATAACGTCGAATTAGAAATGAATTCAACAGCCAAAGTCTTTTGTAGTAATTTAAAAGAAAACGGAAGTGAAATAATAATTGAAGTAAAATTTAACGATAACCTTCACCTTTGCGAAGTGGAAATATTTTCAGGTGAATAAATTAAATATAATTTATATAAATATTAAAAATTCAATTAAATCTACTTTTTTTTTTACAGTAAATTTAGCTTTTAAAAAACCAGTTTTATCCAAATTAGCAAAAAAGAATCTATATAATTTAACAAATGGCCTAATTAGTAATTACGTATTATTTCACCTTGGAATTGATTATTGGCTAGCAATTAATCTTTTAGCTTACTTTAAAGTTTTTGGTTTAGACGTTAAACCCAGTTTAACTTTTTTAAATTCATTTAAAAATTTTTACATTGAATTAACCAATGAAAATCCTGCTTTGGCCTATGACGTAATCAATTATCAATTTTGCGGAAGAAAGAATAATAGTCTATTAACTACTGATGAATATTATACAATTTTATGCTCTAAAGGTGGTGTAGAAGGTCAATTTGTCGTCTTTCGTAGTAATCGTAGTAATTACGCAAGTATTACATTTAAAGAAATTGAAATATTTGGATATTTTTTAAGATTTCCCTATCAACAAATACGAATATCCTCTTAAATAAACCGGTATGGTCCTCTTCCATCTTTAAACACAAACACGCAGGTTCCAGACTAACGAATGGAAATTTCAATGATTTATTCCATAGCAAAGGAGAAATATATCCTTGGATCAGAGTAGATTTACTTGGAATGTATGTAATTCAAAAAATGTCTGTTACAAACAGAAATGGATATTGTAAGTGTTGAATTTTGTTTTTTCAATATGATAAATGAAATATGTTTAAGAAATATTCTCTTTCATAGACGCATTTAGAGCGAGAAACGTAACGGGAATCGTATCGAATTATTCAGAATTTTCAATTGAAAATCAACATTTATTTTCTCAAATTTGCTTTAGTAATAATGGATTATTTGATCAAGGAGAATATAAAATGTGGATATGTCAACAACCATTTCCTATTGGTAGATTTGCTATACTATATCTTTACGATAATGATAATCCTATACATTTGCATATTATTGAATTTGAAGCCTATGGCGAAGAAATAGTTAATCATAATTTTACACTTTTATCACTAGTTAAAAGTGACAGAAATGTTAATATTACCAATATTTTTGACAGCAGCAATGGTGGAAAAGATGAATTTCCTTTAAAAATTATTGACAATTTAGCTTCAAATATTATTTTAGAAAGTGAATTTTTGTCTTGTAGCGGAACTTTAACGAATGGAAATTTTGAGGGAAGAATCAGTATTTATTTGAATAATTTTCATATGATTCATCAAATTGCTCTTCTTTTTCCACTTTTATCCGATGAAGGTATTGAAAATATTGTCCAGTATATACTATATATATATTTCTATATTTCTTTATTTATTCATTTCAAAAAGATGAAAACCAAAAAAATTCTCAAAATATACAAACTACAGTTGAAATACTTTCAACTGAAATACAAAGACAAATTTGTAATTTAACAAACAAGCCAAGTTTTGAATATTCTTTTATAACTGTAAATTTATTGGTAATAGAATATCATTTTATAAAATTGACGAAAATAAAAATCCTATTCAAATTTGTCAAGTTTATATTTTTGGTGAAAAAATATCTTCTAACTTAGAAAGTTTGTCATTTTCTTTTTATTAATAAATTATTTTTCAATTCTTTTATTTATTAATAAAAGATTCAGGTAGAATTTTGAATGGAACAATTGGTTATTCGACGAAATATTTACAGATTTACCATAACTCTTTTTGCGGTTATACTACTCAAGATTATTATGTACAATTACCAGTTTATAATCAATTCAACGCAATTGGATTTTCTTTAAGAAAAACAGCAAATTTTTCATTAGGTTTACAAATTTTTGGAGTAAAATATAGCGAAGAAATACTTTGTACAAAATTGTATAAAATTCTTAAAGTTATTCAACCAACATTCTTTACATTTCCTTGTAATGAAGAAATTATTGCAAAATATTTGAGAATTTATTCATCGAATCAAGAATACGAAATTTGTAATTATTACGTAATCAGTAAAATAGAAATAAACACCAATTTGACAGGTAAAAAAACTTTTAATTTGGTAATAATTGATTGAGTTTGAAAAATATTTCCATTTCAAAGTTTATAATATGTTGAAAAATGAAAATACATCCATCAAACCAGAATATACCTACGCCGTAAAGGAAACAGTTGACTTTTTATCTTGTTATTTATCTTGCCTAAATGAAAATGAATGCGAAAGTATAAACTACTCAACAATTGATAAAAGTTGTAAATTTAGTAAATTTGCAATTCTATCAAATTTACGAGGTTATTTGTTAGAAAATACTTGCAAAAAGTCTTGTGTTACACTATATAAAGTGGATAATTGTGAATTTGAACTTTGTTGAATAAAGGGCGGTGACGATGTAAAATGTTTGAAATCATCAACGTCAATCCGAAGATTTGTGTTCCGTAAACCTCAAATTCTTTGTCGCGAAATGTAATCTACTTTTAACTAGATATTTATTAACAAAATTACGTAATAAATGTATGGATTTTCGCAATTTTTCCAATCGTTACACATTACAGTTAGTTGTGCAAGACTTACTGTTTTCTTATCGTTGCTATAGCTACGCCTCAATAATAATTCATAAACTATTTAAAAGCAGACTGAACAAAAGTACAAGATAGTTATTGCAATGTTAGTTTTGTATTACTGAATTATTTTTTCAGGTTGAATTGAAATGGTTTGGAGCGAAAGCGAACCAAGTTGCTTTAAGTATTTTATTGTAAAATTCTTTATTGCAGAAATTCACTTTGCACTTAGCAACTGCAAAACTATGTATAAATGACTGGTTTCGCTAGTATGTTCAGTGAGAGAAATTGTCAAGACACTGACTGTCTGCGTTAATTGGCAGATGTCGTCAATATGGTGGATTGGAAATGGATCACTGGTTTAAACAAAGACTAACAGTTATCAGATTGATTGCTTACTTCTTTTTACTGCATGTTTTAATCATGGAGTAAAACTGGGTTTATTTCTTTTTCAAAATTCACATCTTTTCAATTTGTTTTTAAACTCGGTTGATGAATTGTTCTACTTCGAAGCAGCTCTGCAATCGAGCTATAAAGCACGACAAAAGGGCAGAATTAGAATTTTTCAGAGACCACATCATTTTGCGATTTAACTCTACTGTGACTTGGCAATTAGTAGTTTTAAACAGCATATGATTGCAGTCTATGAATCTTATCTTCTAATTCATTGCGAAGTATGCAAAAAGTCTGTCTATAACTTCAATTTGTTTGAATCATGGCTATACTTCTGGTCTACCAGTTTCATTGAGAGAACTTGCATTAAATCAATTTGGGGGAGTTGACAGAAAATGTCCACAAATGAAAAATTTCAAGACAAAAATTTGGATTGAGAAATGGTTAGGCAAAAGAAAACAGCAACTGATTTGTATTTAGGAGGGTCTCCTTTAAGGGTTAAGGGTAATGGAAAAGGTTAGCTACAGCTAAGGGCTGGGTTAGGCTTAGGGTAAAAGTACTGATTTGTGGATGTTTTCTGTCGCATCCCAATTTGAGCTATATTGTAAATATGAAAATTACAGGCTACAAATAGAATTTATTTATGAATGCGTAATTTCTAGTATAGATTAAAAATAAACAGGTTGTGTATAATGGAGTATATTAATACAGCAAATGTTAATTGGTGTACTGGTATGATGGAACAACAAAAAATTCATAATAATAATAAAGGTTATTTGATGCGATAGAAAAAGGCTCCTGTTATATCACACATACTGTATAAAATATAATCATTAGATTAGGGCCACATGCCAAACATGTGCACTGCAAACAGGCTGCTCATCAGCATCTGGTATTTGATATGCATCTTTTCCATGTTCTTTGTTCCTTTGTTAATTCCAAGTAGACAATGTCTCTTACAGTTAAAGAGTCTATTTCTTACGAAATAGAGTTCTTTCTAAAGTACTGAAAGCTAACAATATGAATTAAAAGTTTTTCTAAAGTTCACTATTATAATTGCTATGAAATAGAAGTATTTCTATAGTTGCACCATTGTAATTCCTATAAAATAGAAGTCTTTCTAATGTTGCCTTATATCTAAAGTCTAAGTATTCGTTCACTCATTATTTCTAAGTGCACAGTGAAAAAATTTTAGTGTAACAAAAAATATGGGAAGAGGTGGAGTAATGGTTTGGGGACCAATAACTCAGATGGGGTGTTTGAGGTTTGGAGGATTAGTCAAAATTGGCAGCCCAAACATATAGCTGATTTGTTGTGGAAATGTTCTTCCTGTCACTGAAGAGATATCACTCAAAATGGGCCGGAATTATGCTTCCAACAAGACAACTCAGGCTGCACACTGCAAGAGCTAATAGGAGGGC